GCTGCCTTTAGCACCATCTGGTGGATAAAGGATGAAGCACCAGGTGAACAGAGAAAACACCCCACAAAGAAAATAAAAAAACCCAGTTCCCAATACATTCAATTGACAGTGTAAAACAACTCTGCAGATTTACAATTTATTTAAAAGTGATGCTCTTATTGCAGAGTAAAAAGCTTCTATCTAGGATTGTACTTTTTCATTGCATTTATGTAATATCATTCCACTAACCTAATAAGACTCTCTCAAGGGATCCATAAATCTAGCCTCAACTATGAATCCTTGTCCAGCATTCTGTTTTAACCATTTAACTTTTCAGTGTCCTTGTTATTTTTGCCTCAACCCATGTGTATCTTGTAATCCACTTATCTTCTTTAATTTATGAAGCCAATATTTGATACCCTGTTATTCTTTTTGTAAGACAATGTTTACCATAAGAATAACATATTTCACCTTTAAAAGGCAAAGATATTGCAACTGAATAATATTTTTATGAAATGTATGCACTAGGTTACACAAAGTTTTTAAACAGAAAGAGTAAAACATCATTCTGATTTACATTATTTAGTTCATGGTAACCTTTGAAAATATTTTAATATGCCAAAACTTGAGCAGTTGACCAAGAAAATATAGGTCTTTAATTTTATATTTAGATTTTTTCCTATAAATACTCCATAGTTGCTAATGTTTAAACATCAAAATCAATTTTCCTGAAGTTTGTTTGACTGCTTTGAACTCCTATGATCAGCTCTATCACCAATGTTTTAGAAATTAGTTTACATTTATAAAAATACTAAACAGCACGTTATCAGCAAAAGTAGAATAGTCAAATAAAAACATTATCTTGTTCAGAGGTTTCCCTTGTATAGGATAGTCTAGGTAGCGCTCTGCTCGGATGTCGTGTTCAGCACACTCTGTTGACCCAAGGGAGCCCTTTGTTTAGAAAAAAAAAGGTACAGAACAAAGCAGAGATAGATGAGGACAGAGTGAGATAATGCAGTGAGACAGATGCAGTGTAAGCACACAAGGAGGAGTAAGGCAATAATAAAACAATGAGTAGGAAAACAGTGGTTAAGGACCGTGGTTGGAGCAATATACTGTACAGCTAACAATAGATGGAAGCAGTATTTAAAGATCCAAAATAAGAGCCCCTTTATTTCTACTTGGCATGTTTACCTCTAATTTCTCAGTTGAATTTTTAGGATCCCTCAAAGTTTGCACTCCTCACCCTTATTACAGAGAGAGTGCAGCAAAAAATATCCCAAAAGAAATACTTGTTCCGTTAATTCTTTAAAAGTTTACCTGAAGTTTGTCTTTTGTATCTAATTTATGCAAGTATTATACCAAACTAGTTAAGGCTCGAAAGTGGTACCTAGGAAACAATTAAGTTTTAAAACAATTAAATGGAAAATTTAGCATAACTGGGAATAAGAATAATTTCACAATGTCTAGATCAGTATTTCTGAACTCTGAATTCCTAGAGACTCATAATGAACCAGGAGCAAACAGTTGTCCTAGGATTCAAGTTTGTATGGTATGTTTTGTGTTTGTCTCTCCCTCCACCACCAGGTGGCGCCCTTTCCTCGTTGGCCCTCCTGCACAGCGGTGGCTCATTGGTTCATCACTGGGGAGTATTTGAGCCGTTGACTGCCACTACCTCGACCCCAGAATGTTTGCCAGTTTTGGGTACTCTAGCCAAGCCGAGATTAGCTGAGTCTAACCTGAGCTTCGTTTTCTCTGAGATTAACTGTGTTTTTTGTCTTTGCCTTTTGGCAGGAAGCCTTCCCGCAGACTGGAAGTTTTGGCCTTCTCCCCCTGGAAGGATATTTTGTGTTTACACTAAGCAGTGGAAGATTTCCACACGACCCGTTCAAGTTCCGTCGGAATTCTAAGTGGCAGTGCGCTCTAATTACTCCTCAGGGTCCAACTCTACCAACCTGTCCGCCCTCCAACGAGATGCCCTTCCTCTAGATAACCCACACTTTCTGGATTCAAGGATTTGACTGAGACCCCCTCCAACGTGAGTCCCACTTTCTCAATGTTTCAAGAACTCTATTTTAGTTTCCTACGGCCATTGAACTAACAGCTATTAACCTCTGTTCCACTTCTAGTTCCGATTCATCAGCTCACTGAGTTCAAGATTCGACCTCCTGTGATTCTCATCAATAAACCTATTAAACTTTCCCTTGGATCTCTGAGTGGTTTTCTGCATGTGGGTCAGATCTCTTAAAAGCATCATGACAGTCCAAAAACATTGCTAAATGCAAATACAAATGCAAAATGCATTCTACATACCCTACTGCTCCCTGATATGCCCATATTAGAGTTACAGAGCTTAAGAAGAAGATATTTAATACAGAACTATCTTTTTAGATAACTATGTTCGAACCAAATACAGTGCCAACATTTTATTTTATTTTAAAAATTGTTCAAACTCAATATTGCAATGTAAATGCATGGACTGTTTATTTATATACTTCAAAACTGTATTTAGATGTTGTTTTAGATTATTGAAACAAAGTATGATCTTCATTGAAAAGTGAACAATAGAGTAGTAAAATATGATCAAATGTTTTAGCAGAAATACATGGAGTAGCTAATAAGACTAAATTGAAATTTTCAACAGCAGGTATAGAGTTACCAAAATGGTTTGATATTTATGTTAAAGTAATTTTTGATGTCAGGTTTAAAAATGTTCCATCTCTGATTGCACTGTGACATATAGGTTAGATCAGTCTACTTAATTTGTAGAAAACAATTCCTTAAATGTAGCCCCAAATATCAATCCCTGTCCAACACCCTGCTTTAGTCATTTTCTTTTTGAGTTTTCATTATTTTTATTTCCATTTTGTGTTATTCTAGTTGTTTTTGGTTGTATTTGAGTTCTTCTGTACTTCTAGTTTACTCTCTGTTGCCCTCTTGTGTCAGTCTCCTTCTCCTAGCTCCCTTCTAGGTTCTTCTGTCCACACCTGCTCCCAATCTGCTGATGAGCCTAGTCTTTGTTATGTCTCCAATTTATACTCCTTCTCTTGCTGGTTCCTTATCTTTTTTTTTTTTTTTTGCCTCTCATGTGTGTTTTCCATGTCATTTCATGGATTCGAGCTTTCTGTATTTTTTTTTTGGAATTTTGCTTCTCTTGCCCTTTGGAACATTATTAAATCAGAAAAACTCATCTCTGCCTCATTCTATTTCTTCTGCATTTGGGTCCTTGAAAAATCTCCAGACAACCTGAAAATCCTTCTCCTGAAAAAGCAATAATTCTTCCTATGTTTACCTTAACTAATGTGTGACTTTGTCATTTGATTAATCATCTTTATCTAGAGATTTAGTCGTTTCATACCAATTTTATGCTTTTCGAAATTACTGCACCTAAACAGAAATGAATACCACAGCAAATTACATCTATTCAAATTACAAAACTATAAATGACAAAAAATGCTCAACAAAATGAATTGGACATGTGGATTCCTTTTCAGTACATTAGAACAGGCTTTCTCAAGCGGCATTGATTTATCAGATTAAAACTATCTTTTCAAATTGCTTTTTAAGCCTGTAATAAACATATTTTCATAAATTTCCATTTTTTGCAGTTATTTGTTTTCTCAGCCAACATTAAGGACTTAAAAGTCGTGTTTCCACCCATTTTACCTCGATTTGGAAAATTCAGTTCATTTCAGTGTATTTCTATAGCGCCAATTCACAGCACGTCATCTCAAGGCACTTTACAATTCAACCAGATCATACAGTCAAATTGATTCAAAGTTTTCTATCTAAGGAAAATCAGTTGATTGCATCAACTCATTAACTTGAAAGCAATCCCTCACACTAAGCATGCTTGTAGTGACAGTAGAGAGGAAAAACTCTATTTTAACAGGAAAAAACCTCCAGCGAAACCAGACTCAGTGTGAGCGGCCATTTACCGAGGTTGACTGGGGTTTAAGGAGACAGAAGCAGACATAGAAACAGAAGCACTGATACTAAAGGCAACTCTAAACCAGCTCCACAGGCGAAACATCCAGGAAACACACAGCCAGCTCCCATGTCAGAGGATGAAGAGAGCACATCCAGCCAGTCACAATCAGATAAACAGCACTACTCTGAAAAAAGGGCTGATCTCCAACAAAAGTATGCAAGTTTGCAGACATTCGCCTAGATTGGTCCCTACAAAACTCTGTAAGTACAACATGGGATTATAAGGCTGGTGTCTACAAGTGGAAGGGACCCCAAGTCATTTACAGGGAGAAAAACATCCCTGAATTTTTTTAGGACAATCTGGATGCATTTGGTTAGTGTGAAGTCATCCAATTTTGATGCACTCAGATGGCTTATGCTGTTCTGAAAAATCCTCTTGCTAGTGATCTCCCAGAAGGCTAAGTTAAGTGTTATTCTGTCTTTCAGATATGACATAAAAACACAGTTTTGGCATGGGCATCTTTTTAATGCAATCAACCACATTGCAACAGTATTGTCATCTATCAAACATTGCCATATATTAAACTAAAATGCCTTAAAAACACACCCTGGTGGCACCCCCACATAATAGATCAGTGAAATCAAAAACTGTGGCTTTTTTAGTTTAAATCATGGTTTATGGACTTTCACCTTTTGCTGCATTACACTATAACAGCTAGTAAATTATTTTTCTAGTTTCTCTATATCATAATAGACTTTGCAATTGTTTTTCCTGCAACACACTTTTAAAGAGATATTTCTCATTCCTAACTTCCCATTTACACTTTAAAACATTTAACTGTATGGAGCAAAATAAATTAGATTCGGGATTGTAATAACCATGTTTAGATTTTTTAAGTCACTTAATAGCAACAATTTGTTAGTGATGCAGATTCAAGCCATAATCCTCTTGTTGTTAACGTGGTGTTGACCAGCAAAGAGAAATCATGGACGATTTGAGGGTGACTGAAGGAGGGGGGTGAGAAAGCATAGAAAGACATTCAGCAGCATAGAGAGAGGAGAGGGAGGGAGCAACGCGCAGTCCAGCTTCTCTGTGCTGTGGAGCAGTAGTCAGTCCGACAGTGAAGGACAGAGAAAGAGAAGAGAATGTGAAGCAGTGCAGCACACGAATAAATTAACTGAATTAAAATGGCAAAGACGCAGGAGAAGACCATCTTCCTCTCATCTGTTTGATTGAGTAGTAGGATAAAGCTGACAGAGGTACAACTGGGGTAACGAGGAGTAGGGGGAGGAGGTGCCAGAGGTCTGTGCATGCTTATTTCTTCTCTCGCACCGTACGCCTCCGGAGCCTTGCAGCCGATGGTGTCACTGCGACAGCACTCATTGAGGGAGCTGTGTGAACCAGCTGGTGGTGTCTTTTCAAAAATCAACAGCTGAGAGTTCATCTATCAGGTGGATGTGGAGTAAATGTTGGATTTGTGAACTGGAAGAGTTTCACCCAGGTGTAAGTTGCACCTTCCACCTTTTCCCTCCTCTTCCCTTTTTTACTCTGCTGCATTCGTCTGAGCGAGAAGCTTTGCCTGTTTGATCAGGAGCTGCTGCTGCGCTCTGCTTTCCTCTTCCCTACCGCTTCTCTCCAGCCGCCTGCCGGCTTTTTAGTAACTGTTCCTGGACCACGATTGGTAGTTGGGTTTGGTGGCTCATCCACAGACAAGAAAAGCAGGTTGGTGAGTGTTTTTAACATGTGCTTTAATTTGAGGGGGGTGGAGGGGATATAAGAATTTGCCCTTTATCTGCTGTCTTCTGTTGCATCAATTCCTCTTTTCATCCATCAGACATGATTTTTTTCTAATACCACCTGATTTTCAGTTTCCATTTCTCTGTGGTTGGTGTCATAATTTCATATTTTTTATTCACTGATCCACCACATGGTTTCTCTCCCATGTCCATCCTTCATTTTTAGAAAAATTGTTCACTAAACATAAGGTGTCACACATGTCTTTTATGCTTTGTTTCATTAACTACCTTTCAAATTTCTTATCTACATTGCTCTCTTTTCCCCAAAACATTACTCATCTGCACCATTAGGGGAAATGCACACATAAAGACGTCCTTCCCTGTTTGTACACAAAAACCAGAAAGTCCTCAGTACTTTGACGCCTAAAGCTGAGAGGCAAAGGGCTTGACATAAAATCGACAGTCAATGGTTGATCCCAGATAATCCCTACATCCATCTTCTCATCCGTCATTGTCCGGGCTCCTTACCCTGTCTAACACACACAGACACACTCCAACACCTCCACCACTTTGCACAGTGCCTAATCATCCCATTCAACTCAGACTCATAACAATACTGTAATAGAGAATGGATCTCAAATTATGAAATGATAAAGTAAATAACTTCAACTAAACAACATTTTTTACCTTAGCTACAATTTGTAACAACCCATGCTTCTACTGAAGAATTTGAGCTCTAGATTTAATATCTGCCTAATCATTGTGAAGTCCATTTTCCATAATCACAATGCTGAAGTAAAAGAAAAGGCAAAAGCGCAAATATGGTACTAAAAGGATGCAAATCTCAGTCTGATCCATATTTTAGAGTGTGTTGGTTACCCAGGTTCAAACTTCAAAACCTGTAAAATCTTGCAATATTATAGAACACTGGTCTGCAACCTGTTGCTCTTTTATCATTTCAATGTGGCTCCACCAACACCAAATAAAAGATTAGTTTACATATTAACGCAATAACAAAGGGATCTTCTTCGCTTAATATCTTCATTAAATATCTAAAATAGCACAATATCATTGGTATGAGGCTTTTGAAGGTAATTTTTTTTTTAGCTTAAACTATGTGCTTTATATTTTAGGAGGGGTAATCAGCCTTATCTTTCATATTTTTGGTGTATCATTTATCTTGTTTTATTCTACAAAATCAATATTTTTTCTGTTGTTAAGATATAATTATATTTTTCCTTTTAAAATAGAAACAATGGAAAATCTTAGTATCAAAAAGGGTTTTAATATTTTAGAAATCATTGTTATGGCCCTTGATTAACTTTATTTTTTAAGCAGCAGTGGCAAAAGTTTCTCTTTGAAAGTAAAAGATTTCTGACCCCTGGTTTAGACAAAGAGTTAATGCCAGTGCCCTCAAAGGTGATTGTTGGTTTTGAACATGTGTTGTAATGAGACAAATTTTTTTTCTCTGTGTTTTGAACGGCAACAAATTAGCTTCGTGAAGAGATTTGAAAATCAACTGTCAATCTGCCTCCCCCCTCACACACACCCACACACACATACCCACAAACACACACACACACACGGATGCCAAAACCGGGGTGGAAGTTGACTCATTCACATGATAAATTATTCAACGCATGAACAACTCTCGTATCCTTAAAACATCCCATGTGGTCCAATTTGTTGCCAAACTGTTTATTGTTTGGATGAGCAGGAAGCTGTTGCACTGACTGCTAATGATTCTGTAGTCAGCCAAAATGGCTTTCATCTTTTTGATCGGTCAACTGTTGAGTCAAAGCGAACAACCTGTATGTGGCAGCTTCTTGATTTAAGGCCACAGACACAGAAATATGATTTGATTACCATTTCAACTTTTAATAGTAAAATTTAATATGAATTAAATACAGATAATTGTTCTTTACTGGTGGCTTCACTGGAAAACTAGCTGCCAAAACGATCAAAATATTATTGAAACAAATACAACTAGATATATTTTTTCCATGTTCAATTCAACCATCATAGTTATTTATCATATAATGGTTTCAGTTTCGAGATATGTAAGAAACATCAAACATTGTAAGCTTGCTTTTCTATTTGACATTTTCAGTATCCTATCCATCCATCCATCCATCCATCCATCCATCCATCCATCCATCCATCCATCCATCCATCCATCCATCCATCCATCCATCCATCCATCCATCCATCCATCCATCCATCTTCTCACCATTATTCCATCAGACTCACACTGGTGCTGGTGTCTATCTCTGGAAGTCTATGGGCGAGAGGTTGGGTACATCCTGGTAAGATCGCCAGTCTGTCACCGGGCAATACAGAGACAGACCCTGGCTTTTGTACAATATTTCTTAATTTCAATCTAGATTATTCCCGTGGTTTGCTTTAAAAAAAAAGAAAGACCAAAATAATTTGCTGGTATTTATCTGTACCTGCCACTTTTATTGTATTTGTAAAATGTATTTAACAGCTTTAAACCAGCTTACATGAAAATGGAGAAACTGAGCTAATTGTCTGAGTAAGCTGTCATCATAATCAATACCATATAATTTAAAACCTTTAAATCTACAAATGTTGTTTAGAAGACAGCCCTGTTCAATGTTTACAATTAATTGCTGATTTTACTCCAAAGAGAACCTACAAATACAAGGTAAAAATCTAATAGAGATTCACCTTTCCAGACATCTGATCAAATTGATCTAAGCCAGGTTACAAATAATTTTTTGTCAAGTAAAATAATGGTTGAGAAATTAGAAACCTATTTCATTGATATGCCTCTGCTGCTGCACACATTTACAAAACTGCAACTAAGTGCTAAAGAAATGACTGGTATTATCATTAAATCAAATAACACATTGTGCACACATACCATGGGCAAAACATAAAGAGTTAGGCTACCTACTTCATCATACTAAATGCTCCTGTCGATGACAGTTTGTATATCGTTTTGGTCGTTTCATCGAATAATTATTGGACTATTCATAAACTGTGTTTATTGAACTTTTTAGGCCAACATTTTGAGGTGATAAAAAGCTATTAAAATATGAGAAATTCACATACGCACTCACACATTGATTTTGGCAAACTTCATTGTAGCCACAGCTCTCCCGGGGCTCACTGGCAGAAGCTAGACTGCCATACACTGGTGCCACTGGGCCCTCTGACCACCATCAGTAAGCAATGCAGTTGAAGTGTCTTGCCCAAGGACAAAACAATGTTTTTGCAGTTCTAGGAACAGCAAAGATACTGCGCACAACCCTCAAGCTCCCAGGCCTCTGGTAGAGCACCTGATTTTGGAGGGAAAAAAAACGGGGAGAGACCGCCCACGGTGGGGGAGGAAGAGTTTATATATATATATAAAGTCTAATCAGTTTGTGCCAGGATGTCTGGAGTCTGCAGAAATGTTAATTGCCCTTTACTGACTCTCTCAGATGTCTTAAATGAAGAGAAGGTCAGCCTTGATAATCATCTATGTACAACTACCTGTTAATTCCAGTATGGACCTCTCCAGTTTATTAGATGAGCAAAACCAGAGAGTCATGGACATGCCCAGGACAGACCAAATAATGGCAGTGATAAAGACAGTCAGCAGTTTTTTGGGGTTGCCGCAGGACGCATCGTCTCTGCTTGGACTTCTTCTGATCGTTTTATATGACCAGCCAATCCACTCCATCCATATGAAGATTTCTCATGGTCCTGGATCAGAGCAATGATTGTGTTTGGTTGAAAATTTAACAAGTTTGCAACTGAAACATCTTCCCAGGCTGATCCAGTCATTTTTTACCAAAGACAAGAGGAGTACAGGTGGGGACTTGAAGATTCATAAAACTTATATTTATTTAATAGTAGCCAAACCAGCATTAGTTTTTGATGCTGACCAGCATTTTTATTCTTTATATTTTTTTTTTATTCCAACACTGTTTTTTAAAGCACCACCAATATCCTCCCCAAAGTGTCAGGAGACATACTTACATTTTTTCCTAATTAATCTAATTACTTTCGTATTGTTTCTTATTTCAGTCTTGAGTGCAACTTACATATGTCTTATATCTGTCTACTCATTTTTATGTCTGAAATTCCCCACTATAGGACAATGAAGGCATTTATGATATTAACTGCTTTAAAGCAGTGATCCTATTTAAAACTATCTTTTAGAATTAACTGCATTCTCTTTTTCATCATATTTATTGTCTTCTTCTTCCTCCCTTGCAAAGATGACTGATAATTTGTGCAGTTCTGTACCTGACTCTGTGACAGAAGTATAAAATTGGCACAGGTCTCAGGTTTTGCTTTGACTACAGTATGTGTATTTGGTGTTGTGGGGCGCTCTCAAAGGCACCCTTTTAGAAAATAACCAACAACGTTTTACATCCAAACTGAATTGTGTATCGTAGGATAATTCACTTTTCAATTTCTACAAAAGACGGCATTTATGGGATGTTTCTTGGAAGGAAACCAACAAAACCACTTGGATGTACTTAAATGGCCTGCTCCAAAAAAAAAAAAAAAAAAGAGTAATTAACTGCTTTCAATTAGCCTTTAGGCATGGTTTGGTATTAAATCTAGCATTGAAGTCCCTTACAAAACCAGAAAGTATTTTAGAGAGGATCAAAATTGTATAAAAGCATCACTTTAGCCAAGTCTGTTCTGTTATTCAGTGATATAAAAGAGTATTCTATTACAAAAGTCAGGCTTCTCATGTGTTTTCATAGAGAGTGGAAAAATAGTCATATTGTGGCAGATGTTAGTTTCCCAAGGTTTAATACATGCATGCTTTATTCTGGAGTGAGTTACTGAGCTGTTGTCACTGCGGGTGACAGTTGATGGATTCGACTTTTGTTCGGTATGAGCATCAGTGGCGACAACAGGCAGCAGGTGCATGTTCAGTTCCTTCCCTAAAACTGTGTGAAGTGTTCTCTGTATGCCTACATACATGCCTTAAGCTGCACGTATGCATCATTTTATACA